GTGCATGCAACTGCTTGCTAAACCCTAATTAGAAGGGCTATGTGCAGGAGGGCTATGTGCCTACACACCAAACTTGGGACATTTCTGCTTTGGGACCAACACAGGCATAACAAGTCATCAGGGACAAATACAAGGTACATTTCTAGCCTTAGAAATATGAGAAAATGTTTGCCCATAACTACCCTACTGCAATGTCTAACTCTGTGATTCCCAAAGGACGTGCCATGGTGCACACTAGTGTATCACAAGAGCAGAAGCATGAGGCCTGATGGGGTGGCCAAACTGGCCAGCCTGGCATGTCCCTAGTTTTAATACAGAAAACAGGTGCACCCCAGGTATCCAGGCCGTGCTCTAAGAGAATCTCCACTTCCCTTACTGCTGCCAACGGCAATTGAAAAGTGGGTGACGGGTGCTCCCCCCACAGCTTGGAGGGCTGGGGGGAACCCCTGAGGCTGGGCTTGGTTCCACCTTCCTCCATATGACCATGCTCAGGCAACTGTGCCAGGCCTGGCACTTGGGGTGCTGAAGGGCCGGGCCGGGGTAGAACAATGGGGGCACACACTCCACCCAATTCTAGCCTGACCCCCCATGCGGCTAGTGGGCATAGAGCTGTGCAGAGCCTCTGCTGTATGGCTGGCACTGGGCCAGTGGGGCCATTTCCATCACCCGCTAGGCACTGCAACAGTGGTGATGGAACCTCTTCTCCATTGCCCCAGTTCACGGCATCACCTGTAGTGGGGCGTAGCATCCGTGATGCACACACATCTAGAGCAACAGCCAGCCTGCCCCTCTATGTGCATGCATGAGCAGCCAGTGTACAGCCAGCTGCCTTTGGGCAAGGGGGAAGAACGGGCTGCTAACCCCACTCCTTGTGGGAGGAGGAAGGCATGTGAGTCTGTGCAAGCTCATTAGAGATGTGCCTCTAGGATGGGAGGTGGGGGAGGGGTGATGGCTCCCTGGTCTCCTGGAGCATGGCGCCTCTAGTGGTGCTGCCATTGGGGAGCTGTTGCTGTGATGGTGGGGGGAAGAGGAAGAATGAGTGTGGGGGAGGCAGAGGCCAAGTCGGAACACATCCCTGTGCCCATGCACCAGCCTCTTCCAGTGTCTACCCACTCACCACGCTCACATCCCCTGTGCCATTCTGTAATCCCACCTGCACCATACAGTCACCCTTTCTGCAGCCAGCAGCTGCTGCCACTGCTGCCTCAATGAGGCCCCCATGCCTACACATGCTGGGAATACCTATGCTACAGGTCCGCTGGTCACATCATGGCTGTATGCAGCAGTGTAGGGAGGCAGTTGGGCACCCATGTCCCTTTTTTCACCCTGTCCTGAAGTCAGCACCTGAGGCAGTTACCCCTCTGGTTCCCCCCCCCCAGTTATGCCATTCACTGTGCCCATACTCCAGTGTTCATGCCTGCCTTTAAGCTAAGACCAATAGCAAAACCTAATTGATTTGAGTTGCAGGGGATCCCTCAATATTGGGGAGCAGCTCTTCATAGCCCTGGGCCTTCAATGGGATCAGCTGATCAGTTTCTTTAAAAATGAATGACGTAAAAGTTAAAACATTGGTGAAAGGTTGTCAGCCTGTTCAGGAGCTGAGCAGGCATCGCCCACATGCCACTCTTTAAATAAAGCATGACTAATTGTGCTACACAAGCAATTGCTGGTTTATTTATTTATTTTGACTGTACTGTATATCTACCATTAGCTTCTACACTCATTCAAAATCACAGAAATAGGCAGTACACATTGAAAAAACTCACAGAAAAGGATTTCTCCCCTAGCCTACATTATAAGAATCAAAAGAACATCACATTTGAGAGATCTGTGTGGCTGTAATAATGTCCATATTAACCCATATCTGTAGTCTCCAGCTGCTCCTTTCCCCAGAAGCCTGAAAATAACAGGTGAGCTTTGTAACTTTTAAAGAGGAAAGATCAGCAGAACTTACAGCCATGATGACACTTGCCTAGACTGCCAATTTAATGCAAAAGCTGGTATCATAATGCTATGGCTGCCAAGTGTTGATGGTGAGCACTAATGTAATCACATCTTGAAAGCAGTACCAGTGAGGACTGACTTTTAGTAATTATGATGCAACTGCAGTACTATTAAAGTTGGGTACTTTTCCACCCCCTTGTATGTTTTCCCTTTTTGTCAGTACTTCCTGTTCCATTTCACTAGAAGGTTGTATTCAGGGTGTAGAAACTTCATGAGTGGTATTTAAATAAACCAAATCTCTAGACATAGAAGCGAACAGACTAGAATGTATGACTCCCCCAGGCTTTACATATTGTACACCATCCAAATAAGAACATAACATAACAGATGCCATACTGGGTCAGACCACAGGTCCATCAAGTCCAGTATTTTGTATCTTACAGTGCTAGAACAGAGGCTCGGGGGAAGTGCATTTATGTAGGACTTATCCAGACTGACCTGTCCGCTGCCACTTCCAGGGGACAGATCTAAGAAGTCCCAATTTGGAGCCTGCATCCATAACTATAATGCTAGTACCTAGTACTAAATGCAGAATTTTGGGATTACTATACAATTGAAAGACATTCTTATTTTCTTTCATCTCCCAGCTGAAAGTGAAGCATTTCATTTCTCATCATGGGCATTGAGATCAAAGTCATCAAGGATTATTTTTTATCTACAGTATTCTATCCTGTGCAGATAAATGTGTTTATCTTCTCTATGTATGGAAAGACTGGCAGAGAAAAGCTAAAAGATAACCATTTTTAAGATTGCCCTTCTGTTTGGGGGCCATATAAAGAAGAAAAAAAAAAAGAGGGGTGATATATTCCAAATCTCCACCAATAAAATAATTTCCTTCTGTGGAAGTCTCCCAAATGAATCATAGAATTAAAGGGCTTAAGGAACCTCAGGGTCAGCTCTGTCTAAGCCTTTCCAGAAAAGTTTTTCCAACTTGTTCTTAGAAATGTTAAGGAAGGAGTTTCTACCCACTTTCTGCATACTCCGTTTCCTTACTTTACCATCCTCAAATTAGAAAGTTCTTCCTGTTATCCAACTTAACTTTCCCTTGTTGCAATCTAAGACTGTTAATTCTTATCCTGTCCTCTGTGGCCACAGAGTATAGCATATTGGTGAAGAGACAAACAGTTTGCAGGCCGTTTCGCTGGTCAGTTCCCAGGTCAGTTTGCTGTGCCCCCACCCCCTCCATCCCTCACTTCCCTTTGAGGGGAGAGCCTTTCACCTTGGTGTGAGGAACCAGGGAAAAAGGAACCATTTGGGGCTAAGAAGCAGTAAACAGGCCAACTTCCAGGTGAGTTCGCTAGAGAAGGTGTGCTTGAAAGAAGGGCAGCAAAGAGAGAAGAGGCAGATTAAAAGACCCAGGGACATGGCTAGAGGACAATCGCAATGCCAGAGCCACTGCCACTGCTTGCACCTGTAAGGCTTTTGTCCAGGCAAGAAAATAAACCATTGATGGTTCCACCCAGGTCCAGGTTTGGTGCTGTAGGGACTATGGCTTGCAGCTGACAGCCAGGTTGGGGAATGCCTGCAGTGTGAGCGGTGCCCCTTGGTGGTGTCTTTCCAGGAACAGGCCAGAGAGCTACAGGAGGTGGTGGTGAGGCTCCAAAGCATCCTCCGCCATGAGGAGTTTATTGATTCGATGCTGGAGGAGACTTCTGGGACTGTGGAGGAAAAACTGCCAGAGGCAGCACTAGAGAAGGGAGAGGACATGGACTCCCAGGAAGATGGAAGCTTGTGGCCTCTGGCAACACACAAAAATCTTCGTCTCCACCTGCAGCAGTTCATCTGGAGAACAGACAAGGAGCCCTAGCAGCAGAGGGCAAGGAGCATGTTCCACTGGTGTAGGAGGACAGGCCAGGCCTCCCCAAGGTGGGAAGGATCAAGACAACCACCACCAAGAGGCAGCGACTAGTGGTGGTGGTTGGAGACTCCATTCTGCGGGGGATGGAGGGATCCATCTGCCGACCTTACGTGTTCTCTCGGAAAGTCTGCCGCTTGCCCGGAGCCTGGATCCAAGATGTCACAGAAGGATTACCGAGACTTGTCCAGCCCTCTGACTACTACCCCATTCTGCTCAATCATGTGGGCGCTAATGATACTGCTAGGGGAGACCCATGGCAGGTCAAATGTGACTACAAGGCTGTAGGTACAAGGGCAAAGAGAATGGGAGCTCAGGTGGTGTTCTCTTTGATCCTTCTGGTGAACGTAAAGGGCCCAGGCAGGAGTGGATGCATCCTTCAGATCAAGGCATGGATGCACAAGTGGTATTGCCAGCAAGGCTTTGACTTTGACCATGGGATGATGTTCCAAGAAAAAGGATTGCTGGGAAGAGATGGGATCTACCTAATGAAGAGAGGGAAGAGCTTCTTCGCAGACAGGCTGGCTAACCTAGTGAGGAGGGTTTTCAACTAGGTTTGACATTGGATGGAGACCAAAGCCATGAGGTAAGTGGGGAAGTAGGTGACCTGGAAGAAGAGTAAGCAGGAGAGGGTAGCAAGAGAAGTGTTCTCATTCTTCCTCAGAAATCAGGACAATTGACTAGTTACCTCAGGTGCCTGTATATGAATTCAGGGAGCCTTAGAAACAAGCAGGAAGAATTGGACGTCCTTGCACAGTCACAGAACTCTGATGTGATTGGAATAGACAGACACTTGGTGGAAGTTCTCATGATGGGAACACTGCAGTGTTAAGAAGGCTAAGAAGGGAACTAGTAGCAGCTTACTGCTACACTAGGAGAGTACATCAAGGGCTCAGTGAGAAAATGTTCACCAGGACACCCCAGATGAAAACCAAGAGCAATGGCCACAAACTCCTGGAAGACCAATTCAGGCTCAACATTAGAAAAAACTTCACAGTCAGGACCCATGGCAGTCTGGACCCAGACTGTGGAGTAAGCTCCCTCCAGAGGTGGTGTAATCACCTACCCTGGAAATCTTCAAGAGGAGACTTCATCCCTTTCCACGTGAGGTGGAGGCCATCCTTTCCCAACAGTCTGCTACCTCTCTCACTGAAGTATGGAGTGTGGTCAAAGAAGCCAAACCCCTTGCGACAGCATGGAGTAATCGTGGTAGGTGATTCTGGCCGGGATGCGAGTAAGAGGATCCCTGAAGTCATCCGGCCCTCCAAGCACCATCCCACACTACTCATCCACATGGGCACAAATGATATGGCTTGGAGCAATCCCAGCCAGGTCATGCATGACTACAGGGCTCTGGGGGCTCAGGTAGTTCCCCCTCCCCCCCCCCAATCCTCCCGGTCATGGGTCACGGGCCCCAGAGAGAAAGGTGCATTGATGAGGTGAACACTCTGCACTTCAGTGAGAGAGGTAGTGGACTGTTGGGAAGGGATGGCCTCCACCTCACCTGGAAAGCGAAGAAGCTCTTCGCAGCCAGAATGGCTGACCTACTTGACAGGGCTTTAAAACTAAGATTGCTGGGGTACAGGTGGTCAATAAACTGTTCTAGCCCAGGTCATGCCAATCATAGCAGCATCAGCTTGGGTAGCCCAAGGGAACCCACTCTGACAACAGCCTAAGGAAAGGTCACATCCCATAACACAAGGAAGCCTATGGCTTCCCATGGCAGACTCAACTGCCTGTACACAAATGCCAGGAGCTTGGGAAACAAGCAAGAGGAACTTGCATTTCTCTTCTGCAATAAAGACCTCACAGGGATAACAGAAACTGAACTCAGACTAGCCATCGGAATCAAGGACAACAAAAAGTCCTTCTTCAGATATGTGGGTAGCTGGAAAAAGAACAAAGGCAACATTGGAGAAAAATCAGGCAGCTGATGTCTGGCTCCCAAGGAAAGGCTAATCTCCTAAACAAATACTTTGTGTCAGTTTCGCACCTGCCCAAGGGGGTCACACTCTCAGACAGAACACAAAACTTCCAGGGAGTGGGAGATGAGCCTATAATTGATGCAGATCAAGTGAAGGAACACCTCGAAAGGCTAGACGTCCATAAGTCCGCGGGCCCAGACGGAATGCACCTGAGAGTCTTGAAGGAGCTGGTGGACATCATGGCATGCCCTATGGCAAAGATATTTGATAACTCATGGTGCTTAGGTGAGGTGCCAGAAGACTGGAGAAAAGCCAATGTGGTCCCAATCTTCAAAAACAGAAGGAAGGAAGATCCAGGGAACTACAGGCCAATCAGACTTCCATCCCTGGAAAGATCCTGGAGAAAAAACATCAAGGGATCCATCAGCAACAAGCTAACGGAAGGCAACCTTCTAAATGCCAGTCAACATGACTTTGTCACTGGAAGGTCTTGCCTGACCAACCTAGTCACCTTCTATGACCATGTGGACACTGAGCCACGGCAACTACTTTTTGAGCATGATTGTCCAGCCAGTTATGTACCCACTTCAGGAAATTGTTTCTCATGACATTCTTATTACAGTTTAGTAGTTTAAACTGAGTTGAAAGCCTTGTTAAAGTCAAGGTATATCGTGTCCACTGTTTTCCACTTAGCAAAGGCCATTACTTTTCATAGAAGGAAATCAGGCTTGACTTGCTATGTTGGTGGTGTTTGTATGTACTTATGCGCTCTGCTAGACTTATAGAACACTTGCACTTGACAGGACAAACATTGGGGTGAAGTGGGAGCAGACGAGCGAGACAAGCAGCTTCATTAAACAGGTGGCAAGAAAAGAACTAAATGCTGGCAGGTGGGAGAGGGAGACTAGTACTGGCTGGGTGGGAAGACTAGTACAAGGAGACCAAAAGTGGTTTGAATTGGGTCTGAAAAGTGGAGACCTTGGGAGTGGGCAAAGAACTGGGAAGAAAGGAAAACTGGGAGAGGAGGACTGGGGATGGAGGAAAGGAAAGCCAGGTTGTCTGATAGTTCCCATGGAGACAGCCTGGCTGGGAAAAGACTGGCACTGAGATGGGGATGCAGTAGGGTGCAATGGTGCAACTGGGACAAAGAACCAAGGGGAGGTGAAAGTGACAGAAAAAGAGAAAGCAAGCACAGAAAAGGTGGGGGGGGGGGGGGGGGGGGGGGAGGAAGAGACACACACTTGTGTTGGATTTGAGTACAAGGCAGCAGCTGGGCAGGCAGCTGTTGGAGCTCTTACTCCAGCTCTGGCTCTGGCCCTGACCCGAGATCAGGGTTGGAGCTGGAGTTGGAGCTGTAGCTACTGGCCTGCACCCTGCTACCTCTGCCTGTCTTGTCTACCCCTCCCTGCATTTTCCCCCTGCCACCACCCTCCCCACTGTCTCTCCTTGCTACTTAACCTACAGCTCTGGTTCTGGTTCCAGCAAGGCTTCAGCCCTGCACCAGTCCAGGGCACAAAGCATGCAGTTGCTCTTGTCCCAGCCTGGCCCAGTAGCAGCAGAAGCAGCATTTCTAGGTCAGGCTTGGGCCCCGGGGTTCAGCTGAAGCTGCTGCCATTGCAAAAGCTGCTGTGTGGCTGGACAGGTGCCAGAACAAGTTGCACTCTGTGCCTCAGGCTGAAGTGTGGCCAAAGCCCTGCTGGAGCCAGAACAAGCCAGGAGGGGGCTGGGCAAGTGAACAGGGGGAGGGGGGTGGCAGGGACCAAAAGAGGCTGCAGTGGGGCAGGCACCACAGGGTGGGGGCCTCTGTAAGCGTGCAAGCACAGGGGACAGGTAGCAAGCGGGGCAGGGGGGTGAGGAGGAAAAGTGGGGGTGGAACGGGGCAGGGGGCAGGACACTTGATTCCCCCACTACCTGCCTCTCCATTACCTCCTCCCCCACCCCATACCTGCTGCTCCCTATTGCCTCCCCACTGCCTATCCCTCCATCACCTGGCCCCCTGTCACTGCTTTTCCCATTGCAGTGGTTGGGGGGATGAATTTAAGATGATCCTCCAATAATTTTATTCTATGCATGAAAAATCACAAATTTACAAAATTTTCCACATATAGAATCTAATTATTGAGGAGACATCTTAAATTTAGAGTTGCCTTGGATTCAGGTAAATATGGTATGTTACACCATAATGTATTAGTCAAGTATAACTGTAGCCAGAGCAGCTGCTGAGGCTGGACTGCAGACCAACACGTGTGTTAGATCTCATGACAAGAATGCAGCCACAGATGAGACGCCTGCAGAGGAGCCAGTGGTTTTGTATGTACAAAATAGAGTTGTGCAAGAATTAAAATTTCCATCTCCCCTTTCCAAAATTTTTTTTTTTTTTTGCTTCAAAAATGAAATTTTTCTTGGAAGAGAAATTTTCCATAAAATTAACTCCCAGAAAAATAATAGATTAAAAAGGGTTCTGGACCAGCAAGCTGTTTTTTTGCCCAGCTCCCTGCCTGGCTGGCTTGCCAGGCAGCCTCCATACCTGCCTATTTTCCATCAGAAGTTTTTACCAGTTCTTGGAAGACATTTCAATTCTATCAAATCACCATTTTCTTATGCAAAACCATTCCATGGAAACATTTGCAAGGTGTACTAGTATGAAATGACTATCACCCACTGAAAGCCAAACATCTCAATAAAAGCCATCCAGATTGTTGTGCACACTGTCATCATGGCAAGTACTTAACTCTGCCTGTGTCAGAAGTGAAAACAGCAGAGGTATCTTGTCACTGTACCCAGACTGCTACCAGGGATGGGGAAGCAAGCACAGCCTTCAACACAAGGGAACTTTATTGATGGCCGTGGCAGGAAATAATCCCATGGTTTTTTAACCCCCGATAATCCATAGGCTCAGAGGTTCTTGCTGAATTCTTGCTGAATTTCCCATTTGCAAATGAACCAAGACAAACACATCTTTGAAACTTAGTTTTTAAACCTAGGTAAGAAGTCCTTTTTGAGAGGTCACAAAAAAGCTGGTTTTCTATTCCATAGAAACTTTTTTTTAAAATTTGATTCGACTTCAGATAAGACTAAAGCCAAACATTTTGAAAATGGCAACATTTTGAATGGAGTAAATGGAATAAAGGTCAATAATGCAGAGATGAACAGAAGGGACTTGTGCTACAAACTGGGAGTTTCTATAGACAGTAGTAGGCCCTAAGCTGCTTAATGGTAATATAGTCTTTGCTTGCATTTGCTTGACCAGTTTGGTCAAGAAAAGATGAGGCAAAGGAAAAAAGCAGGCAAGAAAATCCCACAGGCAGGAACGACTCGGAAGACAGGTTAAACAGGATGGTCTGTACTCTTAAAGAAGGGGCAGCCAGTTCTGTTAAGGACATTCAGCTGTAGGCCTTCTGATAAGGTGGGAGCATCCCACTGGGGCTTTCTTCTCCCAAAGAGGGGAGAAAGAAGACTGTGAAGGGGAAGTTTAAGAGGAGAAAGCAAGTGGTGTCTGCAGCTTTCTGCTAAAGGAGGAGCCCAGGCTGCTCTGGTGGGAGCCAGAGCTAGAGCCAGAGGGCCCCTTTCTTGAATGCCTGGAATGGGGCAGGAGGATTTGGTTTTGTTGATTTATTCTTGTATGTGCTTGTTACTTATGGACTATGTCACCTATGATGACTGGCTGAGATGCTTATAACGGACTACAGATGCCAGCCAAAGCTGACAGACGAGGAAATGCAGCTAGAGTAAGATGAAGGCAGTTTAAAAGAATCTGGCTCAGGTTGACATAATCTGCCATTAAGATGTGTCCATGGAAAAGGCAAGTGAAATTCTAGTATATCAGGATGGTTACTGCTAGAAGAGATAGGGAAGCATTAGTACTATTATACAAGGTCTTATGGAACTCTTTTACCATTCTGGTTAAAGAAAGATGAATTCAAACTGGAACAGGAATGGGGCGAGTTTACATAGAGGTTCAGGGAGAATGATTTGAAAGAAAACCAAGAAAGCTCAGTTTGTTTAGTCTTTCTAAATGGAGGGCTGAGATTGCTATAAATGTACTCAGAGTAAACAAAGAAGGAGAAATGCTACTTAGGCTAAAAGGACATTGGGACCAGACCCAATGGGTATAAACTAGACATGAATACATTCAGCATGGAAATTTGAAGGTAGTTTCTAACAAGCAGATGAGTGAGTTTCTACTACTGTCTCCCATGAATAGTACTAGAGAGAATTAAAAAAAAAAATCTAGCTTGTTTTAAGATGGTGTTTGATCAATTTATGAAGGGGATTACTGGGGATGGGTGCCTGCGATAGCAGGAAATGATATTCAGCAATCCAGGAGCTCC